ACTTGAGAGATAGGATAGTTTTTTTTGCCCATGAGTGACCCAAATTTTTTTTCGCTAATTTAAGGGTTTTTAATAGGACATAGGTTGTCAAAAAGGGCAGAACAATGTCTGCCTTACAAGCTAGTAAGTTAATATAATTAAATCGTTTACAATTATCTCTTTATATTTTAATAGTTTGACGGTTCGATAGTGCATAATTTTTTTAATACTAGCTGTACCCTGCAACTTCGCATGCGTGGAATTTATTACGGTTGTATATCATGTGTTTTAATTTTTTTTTGCTCGGTACCTTAATTCTTTTTCTAAAAAAAAATAAGTTACTTTTTACAACATTAGCTATCTGCCTGTGAACGTCCTGTCAAAATCGGTCCAGCGGTCAGACAGACAGACAATATTTGTAACGTATATACTTTCTTGTGTATTTAGCAAAAAGCTGTCGTTTCATTACAAACATACACTTAAATTTTATTTTATTGTATAGATTCGCCCTTAAGCCGTAGATTAATTATATGTCATAGAAATAATTGTTCATGTTTTTCCATGTATATTTTTATATGTTAAACGCCATTACAGTGCAATTGAAATTCCTAGTAAAACAAATTATATGGGTTGCTTTATTCCATGAAAAGAATAGGTGACCACAGTGCAGCCTTTGGACATCGATAGCCAATTTGAAACACAAAGAATACAAGGGTATGATCGACTCAGAGGATTCGCGTAGAACACCTTGCAGTTTAACTGTTCCAAGGTCTATGAAACAGGAATAAAATTCGCATTGCTTCTGTGCGGTCTGACGCATATGTTCTCGTGATATTTCGATTTATCAGACATGTCTTTCTTCACGACTCCCGATCTTAAAATTGTAGTAGATAGCTATCCGATCTCTGGTAGCAAAATCTGTGGCAAAATTTTAGGTCAGAGCCCTGCCCCTAAAAAAGCACATAGATATCTTTTATATGATGGGTATGTTCCGAAATACAATGCAGTGTACTGTCCAATGCAAATGACGTATCATTTGACACTTTATTGTACTAGCGTACCACCGCCATATTGTGTCGGATATCCGGCCATAATAAAACAATTTTTAATTGTGTGTTTGCCGAATGAAGCATGCCAGAATTTGTTTCTATTTATTCAAATACAAAAAATTATAGAATAATTGATGGTATATCCATTAGGAGGATATAATGATTTTTGGAGCACAAAATGACAAAATAATCGCCAACACTTTTCCAAATGGCGCAAAAGTATGACGTCATATACTGTCCAATGTTTTGGAACGAATCACCAGTATAGCGTCGATTCATGACGTCATTTGCATTGGACAGTACACTGCGTTTTATTTCGGAACATACCCTAGATGTCCCTTTACCAGTAACTGGGGTCTGTTCTCTACACTCATCATACGAAAGAACAGCATTATGCTGCTATTTCAAAGCAAGATCTTTCAACGGTATAAATTAAAAAAAATCTTTAAGCACCATATTCACTGCGTTCAATGCTTATGATTTCTTGTAAGATATTTTTTTATTATTTGTAAGATATTTTTTACTATTATGCACTTGTTGTGATAGGATGTGGTTATTGCATGTCGTAAGTGATGGCAGTAGTTGTGTGGCGGATTTGTACCCACAACTATTGAGTTTCGTGGTCTGTATCTTACACTACTAGGCTATTATCGCTTAAAATATTTATCGTTTTTTCATACTCAGTATATTTTACAATTTTTATTATTTAAAGCGATCGTTATTAATTTTATTGCCGAGTTGTCAATAATATCGATATTCTCAACTTTACACATCACTATTAATGTCGGTAGGGAATTTCAAAGGTCACGAACGACTGCATAGGTCGTGTCAAGCTATGTTGCAACAGAAGATCTGTGCTGAATTCTGTTAAAAGTTATGTTATGATTTTGTTTTATAAATTATTTATTTTTTATTATTAAATAATGCGAAAAAACTTTGTAAAGCAGTCGTTTCTGCTGTCGTTTCTGATCAGCCTCTCGGGTTATCTCAGGCGACTGGGACTCCGTGACGGACCGCTCTGTCCTCTCCTCGATACCGCCCGCATCGTTCGTTTTTTTCCCTGTCCTCCCAACCCTCGCCCGATTGCTCTCCCCTACCGAGGGCATCCATCTGGTTGCGCTTGTATTTATTTATGTATATTTATGTTAGTATATTTAATATATATTTATGTATATGTATTTATCATGTACTTTTATATATTTATTCATTTCAACTTTTTTTAGGATATAGTAACAAACTGGCACACAGTCTACGTGATGGTAAATGGTTGCTGCGGCTCATAGACATCTACATATTATATCCTTGATTACAAATCAAAATGGAGGTGCGTTGTCACCCGTGAGGACTAAGATGGAATGCCTCGTTTCCAGTGAAAAGGGTCTCCGGATCTTTACACTCACCATACGAAACACAGCAACTTTAAGCTACTATTTTACGCTGGTGTTCTGTGAGAGCGTGGTCCTTCACCGGTCGAGCCGACCCATTCGTGCTACAACTATAGTACTAATATAACTGCAGCATGACTCTACCACGTATAAAAGTAGATGAGAATTCTATTGAGAATTCTCATCTACTTTTATAGCCCTTCATAATCAAAAAAAGTTTCTGGTCTCCGTAACGGAGTCGACTGGGACTCCGTGACGGACCGCTCTGTCCTCTCCTCGATATCGTCCGCATCGTCCGCATCCTCCGCCGGTTTCTTTCCTTTTCCCCCTAACCCTCTGCTGTTAGGTCTCCCCTGCTGAGTGCTTCCATCTGCTTGGGTTTTTAATAATACTTTTTTCTATTTCTTTATTTAATTTACAGTATTTTTTTATATGAGAGCTTGCAAACGAGCATACGGCTCACCTGATGGTAAGTGACTACCGCCGCCGCAACTCCAGGGGAATTGCAGATTAGAGTAGTTATAAGTGGTATAGCCACGCTGCAGCTATATTATGGTTGTAGCACGAATGGGTTGGCTCGGCCGGGGCAGGACCACGCTCTCAGGAATGCCAGTGTAAAATAGCTGCTGTGTTTCGTATGGTGAGTTTAGAGAACCAGAGACTTTTTTACTGGAAACGAGGCATTCCATCTTAGCCCTCAGTGGTGACAACGCATCTGCGGTTTGATTCTTAATCGAGGATAAATGTAGATGTATATGGGCCACAGCATCCACTTACCAGCTGGTGGACTGTGTGCTCGTTTGTCACCCTTATTCTATAAAAAAAGAATGATGAATTCCATTCAGGAGGCATCTGTTATGCAGTTGATTATTGATGAGCTGATGATGATAAAATCTGTAACGCGGATATCCGCAGTAGTACAAATTGTAGGTAAGTGACAAAGCCCAGGGGATCAATAAGCTGAAGTAAGAAATGGTTGGCCATATAACTTGAAAGCACATTGTTGGGCGACCTCTCACTGGATGAAGTGACGTCTGAATGAAACTTGCACGGAGTCCATCGATGCAGGTGGTTTAGGCTCAAAGCCGTGCTTTGTTACAATCTATAGGGGAAGACTATGTTCAGGAGTGGAAGTATGATGGGCTGTAATGGTGATGATGATGAAAGAAGCTTATCTTCGATCTATGGTTAGGCAGAGGTATCATTTTATTCAGGAAGGTAATCTCTACTCCGCATACCTAATGTGCGTTGACGGACTTTACACATCCGCAAATTGTGTATTAATTACTCAGACATGCCGGTTTCCTCACGTTGATTTCCTTGCCTGCCAATCATTAGTTTTAGTAGTGCCGGCGGAAATCAAACTCAGTTTTGTCGCGTTCTGTGACATTTTGATGTCTATTTTTTATTCGTCTCATTTAGAAGTTATTGACATGGTTGCATTTTTGAAAAAGTTTTTGAAAATTTCCCCCAATCATTTTGAGTCTGAGTTTTAATATATCTATAATGACGTTGTGAAGTCCCTAGAATACGATTCAACTGTGTAATACACATAATTATGTCGAGGACAAATTGTGATATCGAAAAATCGGGCAAATTATTCGTAGGTCACAAAAATACTTCGTTCACGCGTTAATCGAACCCGAGTCTAAAAGCTAAACTATGAAGTTACTACGCCGTTGGCGATTTGACAGCTTCCTTGACGACACATGTGACAGCTTCTTTGTTGAAAAACAATAAATTGTTATTCCGATGCGATATTAGAACATAGACTGTGCAGTAGATAGCACTTTGGTCTTAATTTCAATTTACGACCACAGGCATAACTTCCTTCTTTCCTTTAATTTACGTAAGAAAAATCTCGCAATGTACGCACCAACACTTAAGAAAGCAGACTCGGCAGGACGCAGTGGCGGAGATAAGGGTCATTACCCAAACACCGAAAAAATATTGCTGACTATGATCATGTTTCCTTGTACTATTATTTTTTTTGACTGCTCCGTTGGTCTAGTTGCTGGAGCAGTGCGACTGCTGATCATGAGGTCCCGAATTCGAATCCCGGGTCGGGCCAAAAAATCAATTATTGAGTTTTTCCGTCAAAAAATTCTCAGTGGCAGTCCCCGTGCCTCGGAAAGCACGTAAAGCCGTTGGTCCCGCGCCTAATCTTTCTCCGGTCGTGTCGGTTTATTGTCCCATCGGATTATGAGAGTAAGGCAATAGAGAGTACACTGTGCTTACGCATACACTTGGGCACTATAATCCTGTCCTGCGCCGATGGCTAGTCTCCGTTGAGGCAGGCCGCCGTGACCGAAATTCGGTCTGGAGGACATTATTATTTTATTTCAGCATCCTCTATTGGATCCAGATTATGTGTTTTTTGACACTAAACTAAACTTACACATACTTACATGTAATTATTGTTTATAAATGTATAATATAGAACCATTGTCTTTACAAAACAACTATATGGTGTGAATATGACCTCAATCGGTCGCGTTGTTTAGAAGTTACACGATCACTAACAGACGCACCAACGATTATACAGGCGTCCAGTAGTTAATCGCATTTGCAATTTAATTTTAATTTTTTAATTAATTTGCATTTCTTTGAAGTATTTCTCGCGTCTCCTCTTCGCCTTATTTAATATTCTGCTCACAAGGGGATCCTTCTTCAGAACTCTTCTTATTACGGTTTCATCTATTAAGGACATTATCGTGGACATTTCTTGAGTTGTTTTCTTCTCAGCATCTGTACTAGCTGTGACTTTAGTCCTTTTAGTTTTTAAGGACTCCAGAAGTTCATCGAATTCCTGATGTTCCGATCTACGTTGACTTCCTACTAATTTAGTTTGGTTAAGATGATCTACAAGTTTCTCTACAATATCCATCTGGTTCGTTAATACATCTAAAAGATTTTTATGGCGTGAGACATCAATATCCATTGAGTCTTCATATATTTTTAGTCTCCTATTCTGGCATTTAGCTCTGCAAATACCATTTCTATCTTTATAATCAACATCCGGGAGAGTGACTAAAGTTTTTCTTCGAGACATCATAAAATCGCCTAACGATTTTTTCGCTAACAACCTATCTAGCTCGTTTTGAGTTATTTCTGTCGGTTTAGAATATTGTTTCTTATATTGTTTTGCGTTTGATGGAGAATTATCCGATGCATCCAGTCTAACAGCAGCGTCTTTAACTTGTGATGTGGGATTTATTTCATTGTTTTCATCATCGAGGAATATTCTTGTGATTATTTCATCTGCAATACCTGCGAATATATTTATTTAATCACTTGACGTTCTATCATACTAACACTGACAAGCGTCAGGCCTAACTTTAGTACAGAAGTTAGTCTCAAAACTAATTTCGAAGAAGTAACACTGTTGTTATGAGCCGTGGTAGCTCGCTGTAAACTTCACAGTACGCGAGCAAACCGAGTTCGATCCCCGCCGACACCGATAAAATTTTTATTCGCAGTTTTAAGTGCTGATATACCTCGTGTTTGGCGGTGAAGGTAAACATTTTAAGGAAACCTGCAAGTATGAGAAATAAGAAAAAAATTATTTCGAAGACATGTGAAGTTTGCCAACACGCATTGGGGCAGCGCAAGGGACAATTCCTTGCTCTAAAACCCTCTCAGAAATGAGCGGAGGCCTGTGCCCAGGAGTGTGAAGAATATAGGCTGTAACTTAACACTGTTATTTCCGTTGGGGCAAAAGGAAAAGAAAGAGCATTCTTTGTGGGTTGAGATATTCTCTTTTTTTTCTACTGACACTTTGTGTATTTTTTATGTGTGTTACCTCAGATTTCTTTTCTAGTTGAACCGATTTTGATGATTCCTTTTTTATTTGAAAGCTGGTGCTTCTCATGTGGTCCCATATATATTTGATCAAGATCTGACCAGTATTTTTGAGCTATCCTTAATAATGCGTATTTAATTAACTTCTAATACGTTGATGATGTTTTGTACGTAGTAGAACCATGCTGCAGTTATATTAGTATCGTTGTAGCACGAATGGGTCGGCTCGGGAAGGTCCGCGCTCTCACAGAAAACCTGCGTAAAATAGTAGCTTAATGCTGCTGTGTTTCGTATGATGAGTGTAGATAACCGGAGACCCTTTTTACTGACAACGATTTATTCCATCCTAGTCCTCACGGGTGACAACACATCTGCAGTTTGATTTGTAATGGAGGATAGATGTAGATGTCTATGGGCCACAGCGACCACTTACCATCAGGTGGACTGTGTGCTCGTTTGTCACCCTATCCTATGAAAAAAATATTGAAGTCGGTTGTACATAATTTTTAATTTTACCACTTGTTTCTATTCTGTAGAGTGAATCTTTATTGGCTTAAAGGCATAAGTAAGTGTCAAGGTTTGCAGTCTTGTATGGGAATCATGTCTTTGTGCAATTTATTGTGGAATTGTAGGGTAAAATGACAAAAATTACAGCCTATATACCTACGTCCTACTGCTGGGCACAAGCCTCCCCTCGTTTCTAGGGCTTCGTTAATGCATATTGGCTTTTTTCTTATTTCCCAGATATGCAGGTTTACTCACGATGTCTTTCTTCACCGCCGAGTACGTGGTAAATCAGCACATAAAATTACAATTTACAATTTCATTGACGCCGACGGGGATCAAACCGGGGTTGCTCGCGTACTGTGTAATTTACAGCGAACGCTAACCATATGAGCTACCGGTGCTCCTTAAAATGTGGATATATACAGTATACATACCTCGGACACTCCATACAACGCTCGCAAATTAATTACCTATTACTACTACATAAGCAAATGACGTTTGTACGCGCGCAAATGTGTACGTGAAATTTAGTAGGGAAGTGCGGCGGCCGACGCGACGTTGAAATGATCGTAACAGAAATATTAATTGTAAAGCGGGCTACATACGACACGATATCGGTGGCGATCTAGGGTGGAAAGAAATCGGGGCTTTTATCGGGGTAGACCTTACACACGGGCCTGCCTAGCAGTGCGTTCGGACTTGGAGCGGAATGCATATGCGGTAGAGTTCTTCAAAATACCTCCGACTCTCTTAAAACACCACCGTGTTGGTTTGGCATTAGCCATCTCGGTTAATTTATTCGAAAATAGAAAAAGAGAAGTTGCTGGGTGAAAAAATGGCTCCAAAAGAGATAAAAATTAAGCCACATAAACGTACTAAATGGCCTGTAATCCAAGGACGTGATTAATTTTCTCCGGATGGATGAAGACAGTTTTTATAACCTTCTAGAAATGATTTCGCCACTTATATAAAAACGTCAATTTCTCCTACCTATGCTATTTAGTTATTTCTTCTCTTTGTTCATTTCTGCTTTGGTCAAAATCTGGTTATGTATTACACACAACAAACAAGGAAATAAAATACTTTTGTATAATAATATGTATACTTTTTTTTTAATGTAATTTTTATTTATGGAGTAAAACTATCAGAAAATAAAATAGCTTATATCTTTTTTTAAACTTATAGAAACCTTTAATTTCGGACATACTCCCTTTTATATAACTTGTTTGTTGATGTGGAGATGGTGAAGGAGTAGAAGTTAGTTGTTGATAAGAGGATGAAGGCACGTAAGAGATCGAAGTGTGGTCTTGTGGAGTTGTAAGAGATATGAGTGCGGTCTTGTGTTGATAGCGTTGGAATAGGAGTTAGTTGTTGAGGAGAGGCTTTATCTTCTCCTTACTTACATCATACACTCTACTTTACGAACGGCAATAAAAAAATTAGTTTAGTAGGCATTCTTGACCATGTCACTTCGCAGGGTCACAGGCTAGGGTGGATATGATTTGAATTTCGATAAAATTTCAATTAATTTATTTAATTTATTCACTTTTTTTTGGTTTTTTGTAAAATATCAGTGCCATAGGCTTCTACTCCGTTTATATGATTAAAATGTAAAAATTTTGTTATATAAAAAGGTCATTCAGTATCACTGTTTTGTTAACTTCCTTCCGCGAGGGTTGCCGGCAGCGACTGCCAAAAGAAATCGGGCCGATGCGCCTACACACACGCAGTAAGGAGGGGGCGGTGCCCCGATCTAGGAAGCATCGGCTGATCTAGGAAGCATTTTTGCTCATGTCAGCCGATTAAGGAGGCGATATCGGCCACGACTTAGGATGGCCCTACATACGACACGATTTAGAGGCAATCTAGGAGGCATCCCCACTACTCCACCCTAGATCGCCACCGATATCGTGTCGTATGTAGCCCGCTTAAGTATTTATGGTAGAGCGATGAAGTTCTAAGCTTAATGATATCGTTGATGAGTAATAATAATAATAAAACTATGAATATTATATAATAGAATATTATTCAGTTTTATTATTATTATATAGATATATGTATCCTATTATATATTTTATATCATTACAGCCCACTGCTGAACATAGGCCGCTATATTATATAATAATATATAATAGAAACCGAAAGATACTCCTGTCCTTATCATTCCTTGAATAAGTATTGCATCCAAATACAGCACAATGTACAAACATCGCAATGAAGACACAATTATAGGCAGGTACCGATCTTTTAAATTGTAAAATCGTGTGTTCGCGTCAGGTTCGTCCGATCGCGCGCGCGCTCTCGTTCAAGTGCCAGTGTTGTGTTGTCTACAACGAAGTGCGGGGAGAAAATTCTACGGAATCGTGTTTTCGTCTAACATAGTCCTTAATATTAATCCTCAACTTTACCATATATTTATTTCAAAATTAATGCTGCAATACTTTCGGCATAACGGATGATCTTGCTAAGCCATTTGAGGTTATATTTCCCCTTAAAGGTCATAGGTAGCCAGTATAATAGAGGCATTCGATATTAGTCGGTAGGTAGTTATCTGCAGGTGTCCATGATCGTTATTTGAAGTTGGCTGCCGGTGATCATGGACTGCAGTGACCACTTACCATCAGGTGGACTGTAAGTTCATTAGTCACTTCAATTTTACTCGGGCCGATGTATATGCAAAGGTAAAAACCTTTTGCTGGCATCATAAACGGAGCGGAGTAAAAGTCTAAAGCGCTCGGTTTTGTCTTACATGTATTTTCCCACAGACAGTTTAGTTTTAGGTTATTTTTTATTATATTTTAGTCAAATTCAGATTTTTATTGTTTACAAACCTTTTTCGCATTGAGCTACAAATATTGCCGAAAAAATTATGTAAATTGGCCTACGGGTTACGGAGGAGATAGATTTCAAAGAATCGTTTTCTTGCGCCATGGGAGCTCCGCTTCAATTATACAAAAAATAATCTAACAAATTTCTCAAAGTGACAGATTTCCTAGAAGAACATTAATTTAGAAATATAACTTTCGTTTTTTAAATTTAAAAAGACGACGTTTGTTACTCCGAATGAAAAGAAAAGACAGTGAATAAAATTCCGTAAGTATTTTCCCTTTGTTTCGTTATTTTAGTTTATAAGTAAGATCCAAGAAAGAAGTGGTGCAGATTTTTTCCCTTCAAGTCAGGTGGAGATATGTTTCTTTTATATTAATATTATAGAAGAAAGAAAATAATAAATATATGTACTACCTAGGGTTTGGGACTTCCCGACAATTTTTAAGTTCCGGGACACGAGACAGTCTACTATAATAAATCTACTATAATAAATAAGTCCCGGGAATTCCAGGGACTTCGACTTTTGACAAAAATTTTTTTTTAAGAAAAGTGAGTCTTTTTTGAAGAATTTTAATTCATTAAATTTCTGGTGAAACGTATTGAAGAAGGCAATTCTTTGCTTGTTTAATAAAATAGGCTTTTAAAAAAATCAGAGCGTCAACAGCTTCATCGACAATTTTTTTCTGATTTTTGAAATAATGCTACCGGACAAGGAGAACACAAACCCTCGTTTTCAACATATGTCGGTTTGATTGTGTTTAAGGCTTTATACAGTAGTTCCGAACTTTCTGTACGTTTTCCGGTTGCTTCAAACAACTGAAACTCCTTTTGTAATTTAACTAACAGATGGCGCTAGGCTCCTTCAATTAAATGAAAATAAAAATGATGATATCATAACATTCTCGACAATCTTGTCTCGTCTCGAGTCTCGACCCGAAAGTTCCGGAACTCGAGACAACTAAAATTACGAAAAGTCCCGGGACGTCTCGTGTCTCGAAGTCCTACCAGGACCCAAACCCTAGTACTACCCCATATCATCCCGTGGGCGTCGTAAGAGGCGACAGAGGGAATCAGAAGACAAACAAGAAGGAAACAAATCAGGAGATCGGCGGCACTGTCTTCCTAATAACGCC